TTTTTCTACTTTAATAGACTCATTATTAATACAATGTGTTAAATAAACTGGTCTCTCATCAAATTGTGTTATTCTCACTGGTTTTGCTAATTTTTGTCTATATTTTTCTGGTACTAATTCTTTTCTTATGACAATCTTTGTACTCCCTATATCTATCATAGTTGTTGTTTTTATTGTATGTTCTTTTGCTAATTCTATTTCACAATTTATGGTAATTAAAGAACTAGTTTTTGGCTTTTCTATACTATAAACAATATTTCCTAATATTTTAGTACTTTCTTGTGATTCTGCTGATTTAGCTGAATTAACTTCTAATAATCTATTATTATAACACTTTTCACATAATATAACTTGCTACACTTATGACATTTTTCTGGCCAACCTAAATTTATATATTTATATTCTTCTTCATGTTGTTTTTCTATGAATGCACACATATACTCTTCTCAATCACTATTTGTGCTACTTGAAATTTCCAAGTCTGAATCTATCATGTTAATACTCTCTACACTATAAATACTCTCATTATCACTTAAATTATCTAAACTGTATTTTTTCTTTGAATGCTTTTGCCTTTCATTCCAAATCTTTTCTCCTATTGGTCATGTTATTTTTGTCATATAAGTATCTAATAAATTAATATCACTAATTCTACCTGTTCTTCCTAAATATTAAAAAAAAAATCTATGGTATACTCAGGTATATATTGTAAATCACAAATTTGTAATTGTTCTAAATTTCTAATTGCTCTTATTTGTTCTTGTTCGCTTCTGCCATCTAACCTATTATGATCTAAAAATTCTTGCTTAATCAAAGTAACAAAACCATTAATATTAAAATGTGTTTTAGCTGCCTTATGCTGTTCAGGATTTTGAACTTTCCATGACTAGAAATAATAAAAAACTAAACCATCTAAGGTATTTTCAAAATAGTTTAACATATTTTGTGAATTACTAAAATCTAACAATAATGATGCATGTACGCAACCTTTCTCCCATCTCTCAATTGTTCTCTCCCAATCTTGTGGATCTACATTATCTAAATTTAATATATTTCCTACTATATTAATTTGTTCTAATCCTCTCAGATATGGAATCCTATTTTTTCTAGGTGGTTTCATCTTACTTTTGTCCATATAATCTACTCTAGCTTGTTCTTTATATTGTTCATTTGTTGGTCTCAAAAATTGTTGATCAATTCTACCCATGTGTCTTGGATTTGGATTTTCTACTCCTGATGTGCTACTTTCTTCTACTGGATTACATTATGCTTTTAATTCTAATAAATTATTATATTCTTTTTATCCTAAAATATGTTCTACTCCTATTTCTAAAATTAAAATTTTCATCTCTTCATCTGAAATTTTGTGTAGTCTTAAATCATATGTCTTATATTTTTCTAAATATTGTTCTTCATCTAAATGATCAATATCTTCTATAAGCTTATGTACAATATGATCAAAATTTTGTTCAACTAAATTAATATCTAAATTATCAAAAACCATATGGATACTCTCATTTTCGATCTCACCTTCATCCTCTTCTATTTTTTCTAGTTGCTTGTAATTACTAAACCTAATTATTGCTTGACCTGTACTAGTTTCATATATTTGTACTTTATCTGATTGTCTATTTCTTGCACCGTGTAAATTAGGCAATGTCCACTAAATTCCTTCTAAAAAGCTATTATCTACGGGTTTTGCTTCTATCAGATTTACATGTTTACTACCAAATATTTGAACTAAATTTTTGAAATTCTAAATTAAACTTATGATTATATCTATCGGACACTTTACCAATATACATTAAGCTAATACACAAATTTTTATACTCTCATGTCATATTATAATTTGTTGTTCTTATGCTCACTTCAATATATTTACTAAATTCATTAATTGTCATGACATAATTTGGAATACATCCTATGACTGCTAAGTTTGAACTTAAATCTACTTAAGCTGTTCCTATTGCTGCTTGCTGGTGATTATCCCATCTATCATCATAAATGTATACTAAAGCTTTTGTGCCTACTTGTGCTCTGGTTAATCATGCTATTCCAATTAATATTGTTCCTATGTGAATCTGACTGAAATGTGATTTTCTCCAATAAGTAACTGTTTCTTTACTGATTAAATTAAGTGTAACGTCTTTATCAATACAACTAATTTCATGTTGACTGATACTACTTACAATTCTACTTCTATTTTCAAATAAACCTAATTGATACAAATTATATTTATTTTTCTCTGTTCTCTCAAAACCTCTTCTAATAAATTCTTGTGCTTCTTTTTCATTTGGATAAATATCTTTAGCTTTAACTACTTCTTTTCCTTTTCTCCTAAAAAGTTCCATTTTCTATTATCAAAAGGATTTATCTTAGGTCTTCTAATATTATTATTTGCACTTAAAGTTAAATTTTTCTAATTTTTCTAACAAAGATGGTGGAAGTGATAAAGATGCGTTATGTAAAACTTGGTTTATTTTTGCTTTTTGTTCTTCAACTTGATCTAATTTCTTAGCCAAATTTAAACCTAATTGAATAATTAAATTATCTTTCCTAATGGGAATATTACTACTGGCTACTTGTGTTGAAAAATATGTTAAACCTACTGGTTCTTTATCTAACTTACTAATTTCTTTCAAAGCTTGGATATATTTTCTGCTAGTTCTAGAATCGGTCATTAAACTAATAATCCATCTATTTTATCATGTAACTTATCTACTTGTTCACTCAACTCTTTTTTTTTTTTTTTTTTTTGAACTTCTAATTTTAACTGCTCAACTATTTCTAATGATCTAAGTTCTACTTGCTTAGGCTTGCTATCTATGAGGTCAATAAGCTCTTTTACCTCTCTTTTGCTAGGAGACCTTTGAATATTTTTATTATTATCTTCTAACTGAGATGTAATATAATCTAGATTTTGTCTAATTGTTTTTATGGAATTTTCTGAAAATGTTCTACCAACTGGTTTAACAAATGATTATGCTTGTTATTTTCTAATTTTATATTTTCTGCTTGACTAATAATAAGATTTACAATACTATTGACTTGTGGATTTTCTTCACTAGGCAAAATATGATTATGCTTTCTCAATAAAAAATAACAAACTAAACTATTTTGGTCTAAGGTTATTTTTCTTTTTTTTGGTTCACTAATTTTAAATTAAGATAGTCTATCATAAACTACAGTTTACCTTTCTCTAAAGTTACTGCTAACTTGTTTCTTAGGAACTCTCTTTCTTCTCTCAAGGTCTCTAAAACTTGATATGTTACTTTTTTTGCTTCTAAAACTTTATGCTGCACTTCTGTGGTATTATATTTATGAATAAATGAAGGATGTTCAAGGTAACCAAGATAAAACTTTTGGTTCTTCAAAGTCCTACTAATTCTTTTGGATATGTATGCTAATCTTCTCTTTATACTAGTTATAGTTGCGTGCCTAGGATAATAAATACCTGGTGGTTATGGTTGACAAGGTTTACAAGGACAATAATATCTGTTGTTCATACAAAATAAACAAGTGTGATATCAGTTGTGTTAATGACTTTCGTCCTTAAGGTACATTACTATTATAATTATACTATTAAAATGCTAAACTTGGCTTTGATACCAGATTCGGAAAGCAGGCCCGGTTAAATAGTCGAATGACCATTATAACAACTAGACATAAAACCTTGCACATGAAACTCGACATGTTTCAGCATGACGGCTACTCACAGTACAAGTATAAGGCCTTAACGGCTGAACTCAAAGGTACGAAGAGCTCAGAGGTACCTTGATTAATGTCAAGTTGTTTGTATGGCAAGCATTGAACTATAACAGAGTGCTCGAACAAAGTATGATCGTCAGTTTAGCAGGTTAATAATATAACTACAATAGTGTTTCCCTGTTTTGGATTAGTAGTCTATGTAAACAATCACACTAAAGAAGGAAAAGAAAACTTACTTAAGACTTGGAGATTGCTTGAATATGTAACCTGAACTTTTATTGATATATAGAATGTTTACAAAGATAATTGTTTACAAGAAAGTGTTTACAAGGAAGTGTTTACAAGGATGATATGAAGGTTCTGGATGAAGATGGTGTGAGTATATGAGAGTAGGGTGTTTAGGTGTTGAGATGTTGAAGTGTTGAGGTTAGTTTTTACAATGAATGAAAGTCCTCTTATATAGACTGAGTGAGTACTCTGAAAAATTAAAATCTTTACAAATGTATGGTATGGACATTTCCTTGGTACTTGTCATCTTATATTGTTGCTGAAATTGTCAGCACTATTTCTAAAACATGGTCTGACTTATTTGTCTTTTTTCTGTTTTGCATGTGAACTTGATTGTCTTGATATATGCATGTGAGCTTATAGTTGTCTCCTGGAGTCTAATTTTTGCTTTTGCATGTGATATCTCTGAGATGCTTTTTTCCTTGTCTTCTTTTCCATGCCCATTTTGGGTATTATTGGAAAAATTTGTCTTGATGATTAAAAGGAAAGTTTATGGGGGATTTTGGTTAGTTTTCCCAATTATTAATGAATTTGGTGAGAAGTAAATGTAAATGGGGCCAAAAGAGGTATATGCAGCCCATCAAGGGAAAAAGAAGATGGCTCGGGTTTTGCATAAACAAGGATGAAACTTCTCTCCCATGTCGAATGCTTGTTGCAAGTTCATCACCTTTTCCTTTTTCTTCAAAAATGGTCATTCATCTTTTGATGTCTGTTCAGCAAAAAATGAGGACATGTACGTAATTTTTCAATTTATGGGTTTCTTGGTCTTTTTATTTTACAAGCATATTTGAAATTTACACGTTTGCATACTCATTTGTTCATAAAGTTTATATATTTACATGAGAATAGGAACAAGATTTCAGGCTGGCAAGCACTGAAATTAAAAACAACATTCTAGGATCCAAAACTTCAACTGGAAAAAAAAATGAGGCAATTATACTAATGGGGTCAGTGGAGCGATGTTGCTTATGGAACTCACACGAACCTGCTACTGCTCCCATTGTTTACTCAGTTATCCCTATGAAAGAAGAGTAAAGTGAAAGCTATTAAAATTCAGTTTATTCATGATAGTTTTGTCACTACATAGTCTATAGTTCTATACCTGCTTCTTCTGCTTGATTTTCTGGCTGTGAAGATGTGCTCGATTGGCTCTTTGAGGTTTCCGGGTTCTTGAGCTGCGGATCGCTTATTACTTCCTACACAAGATGTGACCTTGTCAACTATTTTGGTGTTTAAGAATGAATTTGATTTCATGATTCACTAGATTATGTGTATGATGAACGAAGAAATGGATGTTAAATTCATTGCTTCCAATCCCTAGAATAGAAAAAATTTTAGGATTTGGAGGGTACATTTCCTTCATGCCTAATCCATCGTCTGTAAGATGTGAGTGTCAAGAATAATGAGTTCTTGTTCTTGACAAACTGATAGCTCAGTATGTGAGTTACCATGTTGAGGAAATTTCAATCCTACTTGGCTAAGATTAAGGGTCCTAATAACATGCATTTATATTCTTGTAACCTTACCAAGTCTTGACAAGAGTTCAATATCAACAAGGACTATACTGAAACCCTAATCTGTTTGGACTATCCAAGGTATCAGTTAATAGGCCTGATATCATGGAAATTTGGATATACATAGGGAGGTCCCTGCACTCACAGCACCATCCCTTTCGAGTGAACCTTATTCTAGCTGGATTATTGGCTGCTGAGTGTAGAAGACCTTCTGTCATTCATTGCAGCAATGTTGAGCTCTTCTTTAGGTAAGTATGTATGTGACTCTATGCATGCAGTGTTTAAATAGCTAACATGTGGTATCAGAGCACACACTGTCGTGTTTAGAATCCTTATAAGCACAAGAATATATTTAATAAATGTATGATCCTGACATGAGACTTCTGCGCAAAGAAACTGATACAGTTATCGACTATTACCTACCGACACTATGTTTTAATTTACATCACTTATACACGCATATATATATATATATATATATATATATGTGTGTGTGTGTGTGTGTGTGTGCGCGCGCGCGCGTGTGTGTGCGCATGAGTCTCCAGATCTCGAAGAACCAAAACCTAATGAGTTATTATCACTATATGACTTGATAGACAAATCTTTTGTGAACATGATCAATTTCAACTCAAAAGTGTTTGTATCATCCTTCAATTTATCTGTTCAAGTTGGACAGAGCGATTGAACTAATGGTGAATATATTTTGAGATAATTCTAAAGAATTCTTATATTCAATCATGTTTAATTGGTGTATAAGTGAGATGCAAAATTAATATTGATGCAATTTTATCTACTCAAAAGTGTTAAAATTGCGTTGCTAATGTGAAATTTTGTATTTCAGTTGTGCAAACTTTAATATAATTAGTTTTCAATCTAAAGATGTGATTGGTATTATATGACTTTTGATGCCATTAATTGTTCATACCCTAAACTTTTAATGAAGAGCTTATGAGAACAAATACTGAACATATATTGTTGATGCAGCTATGACTTCTCTTAACTTCTCCAATATTGAAACACTAATTGGTTCCAACTATAAGAAGTGAAGGAAGACATCGAGATAGCCCTTGTCATGATGGATTTCGATTTGGCCTTAAAGGAAGACAAACGATTTCGATTTGGCCTTAAGGAAAGACAAACCTGTAGTGATAACAGCTACAAGCATAACAGAAGAAAAACTGAAGTTTGCTCAATGGGAGAAGGCAAACAAAATGGCTTTCATGATTATGAGGAGGGCCATGACAAGCAGTGTGAAAGGTGGCATTCCAAAGAGTGACAGTGCAAATGAATTTTTTGAAGTAGTGGGGAACTGATAGGAGCATATTTATGCACCTTAGTTAGCTAGTTCTTATGCATTTTTGTTATGTTTTATTCGTTAAAGTAGTCTTTTAAGCTACTTTCATGTGTTTTCAGGTTTAAAGGACATATTACATGAAATGATGCAATTTGGAGCTTTTGGAGCAAAACTGAGCTGGAATGTGGTGTATGCAAATGGAGCACGAGGAATGGACGTGGTTGAAGGTCAAAGGAGTTCAAGAAATGAAGAAATGAAAGTGAAGAGCAAAGAAGTCGGAATTGGCAACCAAAGTTTCTAAAGTTGGAAGTTTCTATTCTTGGAGGTTTCCATTGTCGTGAGTTTCTATTCTTGGCTTTGGGCTTTTAGATGACTTAAACCCTAACTCCTTGTGGACCCTAAGCCTATGCCGCACCTAAACCCTAATCTTAGCCCACTTAATCAGCCGCAACTTTTTCATAAACCCAAAACTAAACCCTAAGCCGTGGCCCCCCCATTTGATTATGCACCCTAATTCCTCTCCAAAACCGTGCAGCCACCATCACAGATTATTCCCCATTAATTCCCTCAATTTCCCATCAATCCGTGCATTTTATTCACACCCTAATTCCTCCTTATTAACCCTAACACTAATCAACCACCATCCCATTTTTAATTCTTATTCCCTAAGCCATTATCTCCCATTTCCTCTCCATAATCCATGCAATTCCACTAACCCTAAATAAAATATTCTAAGCCATTCATTCCATTACCTTTCATCCCATTATTCCTTCCCACTAAACCATGCATCCACCATTCCATTTCCATCCGCACTATCCCATTTAATTTCCCACTAAACCGTGCATTTGATGCACCATAATTCCCACCATCCACACCTTTTCCCTTCCACCAAATACCTTAAACAATCATCCATTCACATCTCTAATCCTCCTATAAATACCCATTCATTACATTCACCAAATCATCTCATTTTCCATTGCAATACACAAACACTTCCCCTTCCATTTCTGTGCAGTTTTTCTCCTCCATTGCAGCCACTATCCAACCACTTCCCATCCCTCAAAAACACTTCATACAATCACACAACCTATCCTTAAACCTTGTGCTACAACAACGAGGAAGAGAAGAGTGCCTAAACGTTCATACAATTCAAGTTTTGAGTTGTTGGAATGTTTAGGTGTTTCTTTGATTTCAAAGTTTCATTTTAATTCTCTTTGTTTTCTACGTATAAGGAATGGAAGAGAAGAGTGCTTAAACGTTCATACAATTCAAGTTTTGAGTTGTTGGAATGTTTAGGTGTTTCTTTGATTTCAAAGTTATGAGGAACTAAACCCCCTTTAGCTAGGGGGTGATTCGAAACTATGTTTATATTTGCAATATGAATTGATTAACTTTCGTTGGAATTTCATAAGTTGTGGATTCAATTTGTTTAACCGTTTGATTGATAACTTATTTATGAATGTTTATTAAGAATGCGCGCTTAATTTTCATGCATAAATATGACGCTAGAATATAAGTGAATTTCACCTAATCGTTATGAACTTATATTCACAAGTAGTGGAGGTTGCTTATAAACAATCGCGTTAAATGAATTCTTGGCATGAGTTTCATGCTCATCATAGTAACGAATGCCTCGTCAACACTTATAGTTTTCATAATGCTTAATGATCTTTGATTGTATCTTTATTGTGCTGTTCACGTAAAGGACTTTTGGAGAATGTTGTGAATTGCGTTGCGCAAACCCATCCAATTCATTAACTTAAGGAAAACTTGACGGTTAATTTAAGCGGACCTAATTAATCCGGAGTGTTGAGTTTCATAAGTTATCGAAAGACCAACTGAGAATCAATCTTGTATGCAAGTATAACATGTGTGGAGAAGAACCCCTTAGCTAGCCTTCATTCCATTCATTCCATCACAAATTCATATTTACATTCCGCTTAGTTTATTAACTTGTTTTGTTATTTCAATTTTCGTCAAATCAAAACTTCCCCCCCCCCCCTTTACTTTCTTGTTCTTTAGTGCTTAGAATCTGTTTAGTTTATGTTTTAAAGTATTTTGAATCAAGCCATAATCTTAAATTCGTCCAAAATTAGTTTTGAGTCTTTTGGTTTGTCTTAATGTTTTAAATTTTAGTTTTGCATTCCTTGAGTCTAGTTTAGTGTTTTATATTGTTTTTACGTTCTTAAGTCAATTTAGAAGGTTTTAGCAAGCCCTCCTAATCCCCGGTCTAGAACGATCCCTCACTTATCCATTCTACTACAATTGTCAAACGAGGGTTTAATTTGAGTGTCAAGTAAATCTCGCATCAAATTTTGGCACCGTTGCCGGGGATTAGCAACTTTGCTAAATTTAAGGAGTCTAAGAAAGCTGAAATGGGGAATTTTCTCACAAAACTTACATCCATGAAGTTTAATGGTGTTGGTAGCATGAGAGAACACATACTAAAGATGTCAGACATATCACAGATCAGTTTCTAGTGCATATGGCATTGAATTCCTTTAGTGCACAATATGGTCAGTTAAAAGTGTCATACAACACTTAGAAAGTAACCTGGGACATCAATGACTTAATCTCCATGTGTGCACAAGAGGAATTGAGGCTGTCAACTGATAAAGTGGAGACTGTGAACCTAGTTCACACAGCAAAAGGCAAACATGTTGCAGTTGATCAGTCATATGTGGTTGCTGGTAAGTAGAAGAAAAACTCACATTTTTCTTCTTTTAAAAATGCTAACCCCCTTAAACGATTCAAAAGTTTAAAGCTATCTTTGAAGCACCAAAGAAGTTGGTCATCTAAGGAAAGACTGCACTGGTTTTAAATATTGGCTTGTTAAGAAAGGTAATGAAATCAATGTTTATGTTTGTTTCGAGTCAAATTTGATTTATGTACCTCCTTGTAGTTGGTGGTTCGATACTGGTTGCTTAATCCATATTACAAATACCTTGCAGGGTTTCAGAAACCTAAAGGAGAGAATTAATGAAGTTTACAATTTTTTGTTGGGAATGGGAGCAAAGTAGCAGTCGAGTCAGTTGGCAGTGTCTCCTTAAAGCTTTCTTTTGGTTTCATTTTGTTTTTAAGTCCAGTACTCTATGTACCTTCCATAAGAAAGAATTTGATTTCAGCTTCTAAGTTAAATCAGGCTATACTTTTATTGGAGACATTGAAAGTGTAAGACTTTTCCATTCAAATAAATTAGCCACCTTGCTTGGTTACACCTTCCTTCATGTTGATATGTGGCAATTGCAGTGTGATTATTTACATGAATGCTTTACAGTTTGTCATATTGGTTCAAAGAGACTGTCTCAAAATGAAAACTCTCCTATACTTTGGCATAAAAGACTCGGCCACATATCCAAAGAAAGACTTGTGATTTTAACTAAACAAAATCTCATCACAAACCTTGATTTTGAAACTCTCCCAACTTGCATTGATTGTTTCAAAGGGAAAATGACCAATACTAGAAAATTAGGATCCACAAGAAGCAACCAACTATTACAGATAATCTATACAGATGTGTGTGGCCCTTTCCCAAATAAAACAATTTGTGGCAACTAATGCTTTGTCATTTTCATTGACGATTTTTCAAGATATTGTTATGTATACCTTATATCTGAAAAATCTTTTGTTCTTGATTGTTTTAAGACATAAAAAACTGAGGTTGAAAACTAGCTAGAAAAGAGCATTAAAATAGTGAGATCGGATAGGAGTGGTGAGTATTTTGGCAGCTTCACAGAGACTGGACAACACGAGGGAGCCTTTGCATCTTACCTTGAAGCCTCGGGGATCATTGCTCAGTACACCACTCCAGGTACTCCACATCAAAATAGAGAGGCAGAAAGGAAGATCAAAACCCTAAAGGACATGATTCAATCCATGTTTTCAAGGTCTAAACTTCCAATCTTTTGTGGGGAGAAGCACTCAAAACAACAAACTATACATTCAATAGGGCTTCAAGCAAGTCTTTCAAAGTTATACTTTTTGAAGCATGGACAGGAAAAAGGCCAAGCTTCAATCATTTTCATGTCTAGGGATGTAAAGCTGAGGCACGATTTTATAATCCTCACGAGAAAAAGTTGGATTCGAGAACTGTAAGTTGCAGGTTCATTGGATATGCTGACAAGTCCAAGAGTTTCAAGTTCTATTGTCCTTGTTCTCACACTAGAATTCAGGAGACCAACAATGCAAAGTTTATTGAAGATCTCGAAGAAGAAACAGTTTAACACATAAGCTCATATTTCGAAGAAGTTGGAAATGATATTGGTCAGCCTTTTGCAACAACTGATGCACTGTTACTTGGAACTCAAGAAAACTCATTTACTTTCCCAACTATTTTATAAACTACTCAACCAGTGAACATCGTGTCTTTTCCTGAAACATTGCATGGTTATGATCCTGAACCTCAAATCCCCGAGCACTCAGTCCTTTAGGATGCTGCTCAACCATTACAAGAAGTGCAGTTGCCTATTAGACAGTCAAACAGGCAAAGAAAACCAGTGATCCTACCTGATTTTGTGTTCCTACAAGAGACTGAATATGATATAGGAAATGATGATGATCCTCTAACTTTCAATCAAACTATCAATAGCTTGAGAACAGACTTATGGCGTGCAACTATGGTCGAAGAACTTGTAGCTATGGAGAAGAACCAAGTTTGGACATTGGTACCACTTCCATGCAACGCTAAGCCTATTGGCTGCAAATGGTTATTCAAAACTAAAAGAAATGCAAAGAGAAAGGTTGAAAGACACAAAGCTAGTCTTGTAGCTAATGGTTTTACACAACGGGAGGGTTTTGACTATAATGAAACCTTCTCATCGGTTTCATCCAAAGGCTCTTTGAGGGTGATCATGGCTTTAACATCACATTTCAATTTTGGAATTACATCAAATGGATGTAAAATCAGCCTTTCTTAATGGTGTTTTGGATGAAGAAATAGTAATGGTTCAACCAGTAGGTTTTGAGTAGAAAGGGAAGGAGTCTATGGTCTGCAAACTTAACAAATCGATCTATGGGTTAAAGTAATCATCTAGGCAGTGGTACATCAAATTTGACCATGTTAACTGAAAGCTTTGATATGAAAGATCTTGGTGATGCTCATTTCGTTCTTGGTATTGAGATTGAGCGAAACAGATCCAAGAGGATGCTAAGGTTATCTCAAAAGTCCTATATTGACAGAATCATGAAGAGGTTCAACATAGAGAAATGTGCAGGTGGCGAGCTTCGCATTGCAAAGGGTGATAAGCTTAGCATTGACCAATGCCCTAAAAATGACCTTGAGAAAAATGGAATGGATGACAAGCCTTATGCGTCACTTGTTGGTAGCATCATGTATGCTCAAGTATGCACAAGGCTTGATCTAGGGTTTGCAATTAGTGTTCTAGGTCGTTTTCAGTCTAATCCTGGGACTTCTCACTGGACTGCACCAAAGAAAGTACTGAGGTACTTGAAAAGAACAAGGAACCTTGCACTGGTATACCAACAAGTTGAGAATTTGGAAATGGTGGCTTATTCCAATTCAGATTTGGCAGGTTGTGTTGATGATAGAAAGTCTACAAGTGGATATGTTTTTCTTCTTGCTGCTGGTGCAATTTCGTGGAAAAGCTCCAAGCAAAAGGTGATTGCTTCTTCAACTATGGAGGCTGAGTTTATTGGTTGTTACACTACCACCAAACAAGCAATCTGGTTGAGGAATTTTATCGTGGAATTGAAGGTTGTAGACTCAGTTGAAAAACCGATAACTATTTACTGTGACAACAAGGTTGCAATCTTCTTTTCCAGAAACAACAAGAGGTTCATTGCTTGCGGATTAATGAACATTAAGTACTTGCATGCGAGGGATGAAATCAGAAAATGACTGATCAACATAGATCATATTGGAACTGATTTTATGATAGCTGATCCAATGACTAAGGGCTTACTAGTGGGAATGTTCAAGAAACATGTCTACTACATGGGGATGCGAGAGGATTTTGATTATGTTAATGAGTGGGAGTAGTAAACCCATTGATTGTTTTTCTGTTATGTTTCCTTTCGATTAATTGGATGCTTTCATAATGTTTTGTTCTCATGTTATGTTATAGTAATAATTTGTATGAGGCTCAGTTCAGGAGTTGAATGTTGTTTATCAACTTAAAACTTTTGAATTCTGTCAAACAACACAGTGCTTATGGTGTAGGTGCTTGTAATCATAAAGTGCTTATGTAGAAGAGATTACATACTGCATTTATGGTTTAGTATTCAAAGCCATAAGTGACAGGTTGTTATAGGTTGAATTGCAGCTTTCAGGGACTCAATGATCACCTTAGTCTTAGCCAATGTAATATAATTTTTCTTGGACACTCAAGTGGGAGAATGTAAGATGTGAGTGTCAAGAAGAATGAGTTCCTGTTCTCGACAAACTGATAGCTCAGTATGCGAGTTACCATGTTGAGGAAATTTCGATCCTACTTGGCTAAGATTAAGAGTCCTAATAACATGCAATTATATTCTTGTAACCTTATCAAGTCTTGACAAGAGTTCAACATCAACAAGGACTATACCGAAACCCTAATCTGTTTGGAATATCCAAGGTATCAGTTAATAGGCTTGATATCAAGGAAGTTTGGATATATATAGGGAGGTCCGTGCACTCACAGTGCCATCCCTTTTGAGCAAACCCTATTCTAGCTGGATTATTGGCTGCTGAGTGTAGAAGATCTTCTGTCATTCATTGTAGCAATGTCGAGCTCTTCTTCGGTAAGTCTATTATGTTTACGTATGCATGCATTGTATGTATGTGATTCTATGCATGCAGTGTTTAAATAACTAACATCATCTACCTTCAAATTGGACAAGATTTGGAAGTTGCATGCATGCATTTCTTCCTTCAACATGCATTGATTCCAATGAGTTATCGTATCCAATCGAATCCTAGACACTTAATTTGTAATACCAGGAATATACAGGGAGGGTTGAGAATTTATGTATAGTTTTTTAGGAAGACATGAAAATAAATGCTTCTGAACTTTTGAGTTTTCTTGACTTACTTGTTGATCGGCAGCGTGACTGTGATTAAGGGAAGGGCTATAATTGCCTCCTAATAACTTGTGGTTCATCTTTTCGTCAGCAAGTTCTCTCAGTTTATTCAGTGTCGGCAGTATCACAGTGCCAAGATCTGGCCTGTCCTTTCGTCTAAGTTCTGCACATTGGATTGCTAGCTTTGCAAAGCTCAAGGCTTCTTCATATGGCCAATCCGGCACAGCTGGGTCTAGCATCCCCGCAAATGTGCCCTTTTCAATTGCAGTTTCGACCTGGTGAGTCAACCCCATAGGTGGCCTACTTGTTACCAATTGAAGAAGCATAATGCCCAAGGAGTACACATCAGATTTTACACCAAGCATTCCTGTCTGCTGATACTCAGGGTCAATATAGCAGAATGTTCCGGCAGTTGCTGTCATGAGGCACTGTGTCACGTTTTCAGCAACAGCTGGGACAAGTCTGGCTAATCCGACATCACTAATCTTGCTCACGTAGTTTTGATCTAGCAAAATGTTGCCCGGCTTGAGGTCACGGTGCACCAAGGGTTCCGGCTTGGTCTGGTGAAGAAAAAGTAGGCCTGTGGCAACCTCAGCTGCTATTTGGAACCTCAGTTGCCAAGACAGAGCTGGGGTGTTCCCTTTCCTTGAGAGACAGTCGTCTAAGCTTCCATTGGCCATGTATTCATATACTAGAATGCCATACTCTGGACAGGCTCCTAGAAGTAACACCATGTTGGGATGTCGAATGCAGCTAAGTATGTCGATCTGCATTGAATCATGAAAGAAGAGGTTAGCTAAATTTTTCCATATAATATCTTTGTACTTTTATGTTTGTCGGATGAAACTTAGAACGAAATGTAAGATAATAAGCATGTTGTAAAAGAAAAAATGCATGTTCAACTTGTAACGGAAACTACAATGTATGATAGCTAATTTTATTCGAAAATCTTTGGCCATTGTGTGGAGTTCACTACTTATACTTACCTTTGTCCAATGGAATTTTTTTTAGCACAAAACCAAGTTAAAAGAAAATTTAACGAATCATGAGAGCTAGTCAAGATTCTCTGTCCCTTTACCTCTTTCTGAAACTGTGACCTTCCTTGAGCAGCATCCGGACGCAAGACCTTGACTGCAACAGGTGTGTGATCGAGGTAGCACTTATAGACAGGACCATAACCTCCTTCCCCAATTTTTCGAGATGGCGAAAAGTGTTCTGTTGCTTCTTCAATCTCCTCAATGGAATACCTCCTATACTTGTCATCAGTGTGGGCTAGATTTGATAATAGCTTCCTCATGTCCTCTGCTTCTCTAAGAGCCTTAATTTCTGCGTTTGCCCGTTTATTTGACTCCAATTCTGCAATCCTTTTAGCTGCATCAGCTGCTTCTATGGCTGCCTTGCACCTAGCTTTTTCTCTCTCCGCAACTGCCTGTGCTGCTTCTTGAGCCAATCGTGCTTCCTCAAGTTTTTGTTCCTCTTCAGCCCTCCAGCTGTGCAGCTCCATTTCCTACAGGGGACGTAAGTTTGAATGGAATCATGAAAAAATGCAGGAAAAAAAAAAAAAATCTAACTTGCACTCACTTTCTGTTTAGCTGTAAGTGCTTCTCTGCATGCCGTACTGTACATGTCCATTGTTTGCTTCAGCTCTAGCTTTAGCCTCCTCATCTCCGATTCTACTTCTTCCTGCATCAGTTTAATAAATGCAGTGAAAAAATCATCTAGACAGTGTACGGAAAGATATTGCAACAAAATTTGAGAAAGGGATGATGGTGAAAAAAATCATCATATAAGGTGTAAAAGGTTTGAGATTTTCGGTTGCTTACCAGGTTCTCTGATGACCATGAAGATGATGTTTGGTTGCTTTCATGTGAAATTGACAAGAACTCTTGCGGAAAATTGAGTTCTGCGAACTTAGGTCCTAGGCGCATTGATCCAAAGCTTTGGTCTGAGATGGTAGATAGCCGCCCTCTGTCCATATATTCGTACATCACAGATGAAGCTCGGTCAGTGCTTGCCCTGTCGGAGCTTATAAATGATCTCTCACTTTCCGATTCTGAGAACCCTCCACTAATCCTTCCATTACTAAAACCTCCTCCTCTTGTATATATATATCTGTTTCCAATCAGGACGATGGATCAGTCTTTTCGGTAGATTACATGGCATCAATCACTACGCATATCAGCATTGTGAGAAGAAATTGCCTTGCCATGTCATGTTGTACCCAAAAACCAGGTTTAGTATGCTATGACTTACCTGGCAGCTTCATCTGGCAAGTTACGAGGCTTGAACGATGGTCTGGCTGCTGGATAGAGAGGATCCAAAAAATGCGTTTATTATTGCTCAAGCAAAATTGGTTTTGAAGATAGCTTACTTAATAATTGAAAGAAACAAACCTTTCAAGTACATATTCTGTCCAGGTGTTTCAGCTGCTTTAGCACTTTGCTGATTTAATGCCTCTATTTGGGCAAGTAGTGGAGAACTGTAAGCTGCTGGACGAGAAGCATGTCGCTCAGAGTGGATTTTCCCTTTGGAGATGACATATACGGTGCAGAAATCAGGTGCCCCTTTTGATACACTGCTTGGAATACTTGATGATTTGAATCTGAATGAGAAAATCATCGATTTTTAAGCACCCTAAATGAGTCCACACAAACGTATGTTGGGTTTACACGTACTATGGCATTGATAAATGTGTCATATTTCCTAGTGATTACACTTATGAGAGTCAAATACATTAACCATGACATTTTGAAAACAATCAACGTGTTCCTGCTTGGATCAGCATCATGCTATTATTTTCCGGAATATTGAGTAACAATATGTTTTCATCGATAGTGTGTGCTTTTGCTCGCGGATAATGCTTTTTCTTATTGTAACATTTTGTTCAATTGTCATTCTTTGCATGATAGAAAAATCTAATAAAGGTAAATATTAGACCGAGGCAATTACCTTATAAATCCATGCTTTGTTGGAGCTCCCAGAACCAAATTCTCAATTGCAGCGCAAGAAGCATATTCTGTTACTGCTTTTGCTATATCTGAGTTTTCAAGTATGATATCAATGCAGTTTATCTGAGAAAACAAATTTGCAAGACATGAGAAAACAATTGAAAAGTAACAAAAATATAACCATACAAAACCATGAATCAGAATACAAGTAATGCGATGATAATTCACTCTTCCCAAAAGGGTACTTTATTTGATTTTTAAATGATGGTATGTACTTTTTAAGACAAGTTTTTGTAAGACACGCTTTGATACGTATAATGTGTTGACTGCAAAGTCTGATAATGCATGAGATTTTAGGGTTCTGCTCCAAAAAAATTAATAAAGCATTTCTTGCAGGGTGGTCATGGAATAAGCTTTCAAAGGAAGAGCTCCAAAACCTACGTCCTTACGAGCACAATAGCAATGGAAGGTAAGGAACAGATCCTTGGTCATCTTTTCAAGCTGCTGTTTGTGCGGTGATTGAAACGGATTGTTTATATTGCATACAATGGCATTGTTTCCAGCTACTGCACCAAAAATAGAAGTTGTAACACTGTCTACCATTGAAAAGTAAATTTTTAGCTCCAGATAGAGACAGATTACATGAAGAACAAACTGATGATGTCTTCTGAACAACATGTAGTAAAATGACAGTTTGGCCCTTGGTGAGAAGATGCTCAGCAGCCCATCGGAGTGCATTTTGGCTCCCTTTCTGATTGTCTATGGCAACTGCCACCAATCCATTTCCTCCTGCGCCCTTCTTTGCTCCATTTCCTCCTTTTACAGACCACATTTTCTCAAAATCCTCTATGAAAAATAGAATGTTTCTAGGATACAGTTTTCTATGGGGGCATCCGAGAATACTAGAATGATACAGAGAAGATAAGCATGACTTCTCCACAAAGATGATACGCATAAATCGAGAATGTTAACTGGTCTGGAGATCTATGAGTCCTGAAACCTGCAGTTCCTGATGAAACGAATATAAAAATAAAAATAAATTACTATACATTAGAATTTAGGGTTTACAAGAACTTAGGCGGTACAACAGGTATGAGTTCTTGCATTTGTTTGGTCTTTCCTTCCTTTTTTTTCTTTTCGTTCAGAACCTGGCGGTTTTTCTATTTTGGCTTTTCAAATAGAAGCCTCAGAATTCCGGAGGTAGCCTGGCGATTGAGAGAGTTGTTGCCAAAAGTAGAAGATCTAAGAGTAGGCAATGGATATCCCCCTCTCTCTCACAAAGTACCTTTTTTTTTAGTGACGATAAATCTGGGTGAGGATTTGAATTTTGAATTTTGAATTTTTTAGGCTAACTACTATAAATATTTGATGTTGTAACACAATGTGATTAAGTAAATTCCGAGTGTAGATAAATTATGAATCCTTTGAAATCTAGAAGATCTTTCTTATTAGACCTTGCATTACTTGGTGAACAAATTGTTCTTTCCTTCTTATTATTATAAAGGGTCAATATCAGTTTACTATCCTTATGTTCAGTTTACTATCCTTATGTTTCGTGATTTTAACATTTAGTACATCAATTTTTTTTCATCCCAGAGTCATACCATCCGTTAGTCAAACTGTTAATTCTCCCGTTAAGTAATGATGTGGCACCCATATGGACCATGTCTGGATGCCATGTGTCATTAAAAAATATTAAAATAATTAATTAAATAAAAGTTAAAAAAAAAAAAAAAAAAAAAACCCCCGCCCCCAACCCAGAAGAAGAAGGGAAAAAAAAACCCAGTCCCGCACCCAACCCAAAATAAGAAGAAAAAGAAAAAGAACCCAAAAGAAGAAGAAGAAGGAGCAAAAAAAAAAAAAAAAAAACCCAGTTCGTCCTTCCCCCCTCCCCCAAAAACCCAAAACCAGTTCCATCCCCCCAGAAGAACAAGGAAAAAAAAAAAAAAATCAAAAACCCAGTTCGTCCATTCCCCCCAACCCAAACTTCCCCAACCCAGAAGAAGTCCCCTTCCCCGCGCCCCCCCTCTTCTCCCCATCTTCATCTTCTTCCCCCTTCTTGCAATCCAGAAACCTTAGCCAGGCTGGGTGTGGGTTGCAGAATAGAGAAAGGAGGGAAAGGATGGGGTTATAGAATAGAGAAGGGAGGGAGAGGGTGCGCCAGGGGGGGGGGGGGTTGGCGTTGCATAGTAAAGAGAAATGGGGAGATAGAATACAGGAAGCTTGTAGGTTTTTTTTTTTTTTTTTTTTTATTTAAATATTTATTTATTTATAATAATAATTATTATTATTTTGAATTTTGAATTTCCACGTGGACCCTTAATGACACGTGGCACCCATTCATTGTCCACATGTGTGCCACATCATCAGTTAACGGGAGACTTAACAGTTTGACTAACGGATGTATGAGACTGTCCCAAAATTAACACTTTAGGTATGACTCTGGGACGAAAAAAAATTGATGTATTAAATGTTGAAAACCACGAAACATGAGAGTATTAAACTGATATTAACCCTATTATAAATAAAGGCATTGTACATGATGAATATCATCACAGAATTTTTCAAGCCTTTCTTCATTTTCCCTTTGCCACACCCTCTTCTTTCTCTTTCTAGATTTTAGGCGCTAGTTGGGTGGCGGATTAGGGTCTAGTACCTAGGCGAGAGCATAACCAGACTAGGCAGATTTAAGTAAACTTATTATATATCATCTAAATAAGTGTTTGTTTATACTTAAAAAATAAATAATTGTATTGGGATATATAAATTGAAAAATAGAATTACATATAGATTAGAAAGTATTATAACCTATTGAAAACATGGGGAATCAGAATATAATTAGTGCTCATCTAAGTATTCAACAAGTTACTTACAATTTATTAAAATAAAATAAAATGCAAAATGAAAGTTATCTATTTTCTATCTAAGTGACAGTCGCAACTTAAGTGGGTGACTAGGCGAACGCCTAGACGGGTTAGGCGAACCCCTAAGAGGTCTAGGTGACCTTTCTTAATTTTCAAATACCTAGTGATTAATTGAGGCAGTGGCCAACCATCCAGTGCCTAGGGAGGCCTAGGCAGTAGTCGACATGGATTTTTAGAATAGTGGTCACAAAATGATATTACCATAATTTGCTTCATTACCCAACGCCTGGCAGATTCAAAGAAATCAAAGGACACCAAGTAGCAGTGCATTGTTGTACGGTAGAAAGTATGAACGCTATATGAAAGGGAGAACAGAGCTCTAGCATTGCCATGGATGAAACGACATCACAATCATAGATTAAGGGCCAACAGTTAAACTACAAAGAGTTTGACATAGACCTTGACCCCCTAGACGACAACACTCTGGAATCTAAAGCTACAGAGGACGTTGTCAACATCATTATCAACCTCAACAAGCCAGAATGTAGCTAAGATAAGCTTTAGGTTATCCGATCACGAGAAAGAATTGTTCATAGCTTTCCTACGAGCCAATAAGGATATATTAACATGGTCACCAAGGATACGCCAGGAATCAGCCTTTCTATTATCTGTCATTGACTCCACTTAGATCCTACTGCCAAGCCGGTTATCCAACGGAAACATAATCATGGCACAAAACAGAGCAAGATCATTGAGTCAGAGATTAGCAAACTCAAGGACACTAACTTTATTGTCGAGGTCCACCACCTCGATTGGTTAGCAAGTGTGGTACTTGTATAGAAGAATATGAAGTGGAGAGTTCACGTGAACTTCACCGATTTGAACAAGGCATGCCTTAAGGATCCGTACCTTATTCCTTAGATTGACTTGCTGGTAGACTTCACGGCAGGGCACAAGTTACTAAGCTTTATGAACGCCTACTACGGTTACAACCAGATAAAGATGTATGAGCTGAAAATGGAAGCAACTTCCTTCGTTATAGATTGAGGTACGTACTATTCCAGAGTTACACTCTTTGTTCTAAACCACAAGGGCAACATATTGAAGGTTAGTTAACCAAATCTTCAAGAAGAAAATCAAAAGAACGATGGAAGTCTATAAGTATGACATGGTTGTCAAAAGAAAAAAGAGGAAGAACCATTTCGACCATCTCTAGAAATCCTTTGACTTACTCTAGAAGCACAACATAAAGTTCAACCTAGAGAAGTGTGCTTTCGGAATAACATCTGGAAAGTTCTTGGGTTACCTAGCAACCAAACGAGGAATAAAGGCTAACCATGATCGAATAGAGGCGATCATGGATATAAAGTCCACAAAACAATAAAGGAGATTCTGAATTTGATCAAGAGGGCAACATTGCTTAGCCATTTCCTTTCATGATCCACTGACAAGTGCAAACTTTTATTTACTACGATAAAGAAAACTAGAGATTTACTATGGACGGATGAGTGCGAGGAAGCCTTCATGGAAACTAAAGGAATACCTATCTAATCCGCCATTACTAACTAAACCAGTAGACGGAGAAGACTCATTCTTATACCTAGCATTACCAGACTGCGTGGTCAGCGTGCCTCTGATTCAAGAAGAGTCGTAGAAGTAAAAGACGTTATATTATATCTTTAAAGCTCTTCTCAAATCAGAAACTCGATATCCGAAGATGGAAAAACTCATCCTAGCTCTGGTTACTGTAGCCATGAAACTCTGGTTGTACTTCGAATCATTCAGAGTAGTCTACATGATGGAATACCTCTATAATCCATCCTACAAACACATCTTCTAGAATCACAAAGTGGGCCATTGAGCTGGGGCAGGACGAAATCATTTATCACTCTAAGACCTCAATCAAAGCCCAAGTGTTCATGAACTTTGTGGCAAAATTAACACTAGTAGTTGAAGATATTCCATCATTCGCGGATTCACAGAACACACCCGAAAATCTTCGTATATAGAAACTCTACGTGGATGGATTTTTGAACGTCAGCGAGGCATAAGGAGGAATGGTCTTAATATTGCCAGATAGATCTATACTAGAGCAGGCCTTGAAGTTGGGATTCAAGGCTAGTAATAATAAGGCAGAATACAAGGCACTACTTGCATGCTAAGGTAAAATTACAAGTCAAGGAACTATTAGTTTATTACGATTCCATGTTGATGGTGAATCAGGTTAAAGGTGATTACGCCGTTCATCATCTAGCAATGGGGCCTTACCCAAAGCTTTACTTGAAGGTTTCAGCAAGTGCAAAAGTCAGCAAATCCCTAGAAACGAGAATGTACATGATGACACCTTAGCAAACATTGCATCAACTGCTGATTATGTACTTTGGCAAATGATCCCGTTTGAGTACTTTGTGGTTCCAAGCAATCACCATCCTACGTCAGAGATAATAACCATTATCGACACTAGAAAGAATAGGATAAATGAGATAATCCACTACATCAAAGATGGGAAGCTACCTGAAGACCGTCATTTGGCCAGAAAACTGGTCCAAAAGGCCTCAAGATACACGGTTATTTGCAGAAAGCTCTACCAACGCTTTTACTCCAGAACCCACATATCGTGTGTCACCCTAGAGATGGGCACGTAGATTCTGAATGATATCCACTCTGGTATATGCGGTAACCATGCAGGTGCCATATCACTCTTGTAGAAGGCGTTAACAGCAGGATATTATTGGCCGACCATGTGACAGGACATGGTTGGTTATGTTCAGACTTATGACAACTGCCAAAGTTATGCCTCTATGAACCATTAACATGCTGATGACTTAGCACTTTAAAAGGGGCATGGCCTTTCATGCAATGGGACATTGACCTCATTGGACAACTAAACAAAAAATCCGTGAGAGTGGCCACATATTACTTCTCTAACTGGATTGAGGTAGAATCTCTATTTAGGATCACTGGGGTAGCGGTAAAATCCTTTGTTTGGAAGAGCATCATCTATCTTTTTGGTATCTCCAGTACCATACTTACAAAGAATGGGTTGCAATCACTAATCTTGAAGTTACAGATTAGTACAAGGAGTTTGGCA